GGCTGTCCTAATTTCGACATCTGCTTCAGATGGGATGACTCATGCCCCAGTCTCCACGGGCTGTGTTAATTACCTCTCCATTGCCTATGGAGCGCTGCAGATAGCTCCGATGGAGCCATCCCCGCTCCGGCTGGTGGAGCCTGCGCTGAGGACGGTGTGGAGCACACTTCCCAGGAACCTGCGACCACAAAGTCAGGCCGTTTGTTTGGTGGCAAACGCAGGCCCCAGCTGTGGGTATGGAGCAAATCCGGCAAGCCAGCCCTGTGCCGTCGGTGAGGCTGTACAGCTCCCCAGGCTCCAGGCGTTAAGAGCACCAAGGCTGGTCGTGCCACATTGCCGTGTTCCCACTGGTTGCTCTGCAGTCGGGGCAGGACTTTGTCTTGACAGCACTGCAGCACAAAAAAAGCTTGTTTATATTTCCCTGGCACGGTCTCTGTGCTTGCTTGGGTCCTGGCAAAACGCCCGTCCTCTCTCAGCCGTCATATATTTGGGTTAGCAGGCAGCTTACAAGTGACTGTTCCCGTCTGTCTCTGCAGTAAGTTATTAACATTTAATGGGCGAACTGGGTTGTGCTAACAACCTTTCCTTCATTCAGACATTTCTTCAGCGATAACTCGGCTGCATGAGTTCTTTGGATTTCTTGGCGACCTGCTCTCCCAATCTAAAAAAAAAGCTGCGCCCATTGTTAGGTTGTTGAAGGAGAGAGTGTTACTGGATGTTGACGGCTGTCTAAACTACATCTAGTTGTTAGATAAAGGCAGCAACAGAGACGCACATAAAGCTGGAATTCACTGGACTGGATCCACCCTGACCTCCCACAGAAAATTAGCACCTCGCTACAGTTAAGAATATTTTGGTTTCAATTTATTTCACCATGGCTACAAAAGACACATTCCTGTTCGCAGACAGTCCATGGAAACACATTGCCTGTTTCCTGACAACCTTTAGGACAGAGATGGAGCTGACTGTACCAGCATCATTGTCCCTTCCCTTCCCTTAGAGACACTGGGATAAATATTTATTGCTCTGGAGTTCTCATTCATGTCAGTGAGTTCTTGGCATGATACAAGGTAAATGGGATTAGCTCCCACCCTGGTGATCCTGGCATGACTGAAAAGCAAGCTGGAGAAGTTTCAGTCCAGATATGCATTAGGAGAGCCAGAAGCTCTGCGTAGTCCCTCCTGGTGAGGAGCTGAAGCCCGAGAGGATGTTCTCTGACCTCTGGGCACCCTGTAAAACAATCTGTGGTGCTGGCAGCCCTCCCAAGTGGGTGCAGAGCTCTGTGATGCTTGGCCTTTTCCTGAGAGCTATTACAGGACTATGGCTGTGAGAAATTCCAGATAGCGCAGATGAAAAATGCCATCAGGTACAGCATGCTCCCTGGCAGAATGGAGAGAAGGAAAAACAGAGACAGGATGATGCAGTCTGTCACCTGGCCATGACCCACTTGAAACTTTACGATCCTGTTTTATAGGGCTTTTCCTTATGATGTTATCCTGTGTTGCCTAGAAATCAGTCTGGCGCCCAGAAATGTTAGGTGATTATATATTCTATTTCTTGTATTTTAAATAAAGCTGTTGCCAGTTTGGCACAGATCTGATGTTAAGTGTTTTAAAAATGCCATCTCGCCTGCATCTCAGTGTGGTCCTCCCTGAGGAGCCCGTTTATTCTGACCTGCTAAATGCGCTGTCACTCCCCATCGCTGTTCCTCTGTGCCTGGTTCTCATCTGGAGAGCAGCACAGTTCTTCCCGTTCCCACCTAAATTGTCCCCTGCGGTGCAGCTTGGGAAGTGGGAAGTGTTTGAGAATTCATCCTGCCCTTCCCCTTGTCTGGGCCATGTTGCCTCTGTACTGCAGACGCTTGAGGCAACTCTGAAAGTGTTCAGACTTTAAACTGAACCCACTTTCTGCCCCTTCCCACTGAATGAGCATGGTTTCCTTATGTTTATTTGTTAAAGATCTCATAACCAAAGTCCACATAAAGTACTAACAAACTTCTAAACAGCAGCTCTGTTTTTGTAAGATTAAAATATGCTTTACTGTCTTCATTTATGTTTATGATAGTTTATTCCCTCCTCTGCTCGGGGAGGGCACAGAGGAGGTGGGCACAGCACCTGGTCCTCAGCAGTGTTTTCAATCTGAAATTCAACCCTGCTGGGGAAGTGACATTTTATGCTGCCAGATCCCATCTCCATGCAGAAACGCAGCTCCTTGAAAGTAATTTGTGACACAGACTTTCAACTTTCTAATACAATTCTGTCATACGCTGGCATTTTATTTCAGCAGCGCTTTGATCGTACAGATCAAGTGTGTTTTAAAGACATTGCCTGAATCTTTAGCCAGAGAAGTCATTGAAGCCTTCGGACTAGAGGGATAGACAGCAGGACCAAGGGCTCTCTGTGATTAGGATGGCTTCTGAGTTCAGACAGGTGCATTTCTCTCTTAGTTATATCTGTTTATTCCCTCCTTATGTTATCCCAAGACTGATCTATACAGGTAGGAAATACCACGTTACTGAACTGGCTGCCGTCAGTGTTGATGGAAGCGATTTAATTAACACAGCCTGTAAGCTTAGCTGGGAACTTGAGTGTCAAATGGGGGTGTTTCTTCTAGCACGCAATTGTTCACGATGCAGGTTCTGCAAATGAAATTGTGCTGCCCTTGTATCACAGAGCCCAGCTCCAGTTCTGCTCTCAATAACATTTTGTTGTCCCAGAATCTGTTCTCTGAAATTCCCCTATAATGTGCTGTCTTTTTTGAAGCCCTTAGACCCATCCACCTGCTCCCTTGTCCTGTGTTTTGAGAGTGTGCAGCTGTGTTAGTGGGCAGAACAGATAACCGAACCCCGTAGCAGTGGCTGTGATGGCTGAGAAGGACCCAAGCCAACTAGACCTTCCTTTCTCAAGCCAGGTTTGCAGAGAAAATATCTTCTGAGCAGAGCAGATTCTCTACCGAGTAACCACAGTAAGGCCTGTGCATGCCTGGAGCACTCACAATTCCCTTGTTAACGGTGTACTGCTATTTTCTTTCTCAGAGCACAGATAAGTGAAGAGCTCAAGGAACTGATCCTACGCATGCTTGATAAGAATCCAGAAACAAGGATAACAGTCCCTGAAATTAAGGTGAATTGGACATTGATATTATAGTCTTTTATCTCAGCTGATTTTGTTGTTCCTTTGGTATCCTCTAATGAAGCAGAGCCGTTCCCGGTGTTTGTTTTGGGAGCTTTCTCTGGCATGCTGCCTCGGAAAGGGAGAGTGCTCGTTTTGCAGCATGTAATAGCTCTGTCACTGCTGCTTGCTTGGGGAATATTGACAAAAACTTTCTTGTTTACTTATTGAAATTAAAATTACTCCAAAGCTGGCTGATGCTCAGCGAATCCCCAAGAGAATTGACATCATCATGGGGACTGCTAGCTGCAGAGCCTGTGCTGCTGGTGTTGAAGCTGTGTTACAGAGGCTGGAAGTGTGTTCCTCCTCCAGTGCTTGCATGGTCAACAGCCTCAAGGCAGGACGTTTGTTTCTATCAGCTTTACTTGAGACATGCTTATTAACACAGGGGGTGACTAGGGCTGGTAGAGCACAATGCTTTGCAGGGTTTGGCTTCCTTCTGGTTTTGCATGGGCATTCTGTCCTCATGTTACCCCACCACCCCCGCAGAGATCCATCAGCATCCTCTGCAGGGCACACAACTCTTCTCTTTGTCTCAGGCCAACACCAGCACCTTTGCCACTGAAGCTGACAGTAGAGAGGTTGAACTTCGAGAAGAAATGTGTCGTTGCTTCCCTCCATGCCCAGGAGGCGACAGCCGGTGATGTGCTTTTGAGCTATATTAAGTGATTTCACTGGGCAGCTCTTGTGAGCACTTCATGTGGAAACCTGAGCCCTGTAAGAACCGTGGGGAGAAAAGCAGAGCAGGGTGCTAAATCTTGTCCTTGGCCATGCACTGAAGATGCTTGATGTGCTTGAGGACTGTGTTTGAAGCTGAAAGGGCATGTGTTTGTTGAGCCAGACTCAGCTCTGGGCTCAGCCCAGAGCCTCGAGCATTGCTTTTCTCATGTTCTCAACCAAGGAAACCATCACATGAGAGGCAATAGTGAAAGGCCAGCTTTCTTCTGTTGTTCCTCCAAGAAAGATGATGGCCAAGCAGGTTTGTGGCAGAGGTGGCTGTGGAGTGACCGCCACCATCACTGAAGGCCCTGGACAAAGGAATCCAACCCAGAGAGTACAAGAGAGCCCAACACATGCAGTCGATGCAATCCAGACAAGGAGATGAGACACTCCCTCCATGTTTGCATTCACAGACTAATCCCGGGGAGTTTCTTTGCTCTGAAGCTAGCCAGATGGCATCAGGGCTCCAGCCTTGGCTTCTTGCATGGTCAGATGTCTCTAAGTGGCTGTTCCAGGCATTGTTCTCCTCCTGCCCTAGTTCCTTTGATTTTTGTTTTCCCCTGTTTTCACACTCCCCTCTTCCTCTTTCATGTTCCTTACTTGTAAGATAAAATCCTGACATGGCTGCAAATGTTCTTGTGCTTGCAAGCATGAATTCTATGCTGCCTCTCATATGTGATTGTTTATAGTTGATAAATCTTTGATGTCAGCGTTGAAGATAAACATGGGAAAAGCGGGTGAGGTGGTAGAATTATATAAGGGGATTAGGCCGGACAAATATCTTAACTGCTCTGCCCAACTGGGTTTGGAATTGCTGTTCACCATCAAAATAAATCAAGCGAATTGTTTTGTATGAGGAAAACCAAACACATGGCTAAGCAGTCCTCTCCCTAGCTGAAACGTTCACAAGACTCAGGTAGACTGTGGGTAGAGTTTAGCACACTGGTTTCTCTTAAGGCTGGATGTGGTGATGTGCCTTTGAAAAGAGTTATTATAAGCACAATTAATGATCTTTGGAAAACGCAACTTAATTAAGTGCTGTAAAGCAGCTCATCGCTAAGCCCTTGGGGAATGTTCTGTACACCTGCATCCAGCTCATTTGAACGGCAGTAGGTAGGGAGCATCCATCCTAATTAAACTCCTCGTCCCAGAGGGTGAGGCAGGCCTTTCCAGCAGCAGCACTGGAGGATGCTCTTCCTGACAGGCAAAGTGTCCAGCCCTAGGTGTGGGTACCAGAGAGCTTCGCCCTGTCCTGCCATCAGCGCCCTTCCACAGCAGTGACAGGGAGGGATGGTGGCAAACTGTCTCCTCTCTCTTTTGTGGGTGTGTGGTGGTTTACGTGGTGTCCAGGTGTGTTCTTTCGCTATTTATGTAGGCAGGAGGCTGTTCAAGTAGTATGAGGCCTCAATATTCAGATCCAAGTACACCGTTTTAAGCACCCGAGCCCTTGATTGTGCAGATGTGTAAATGATCTTGATTCTCCCGGGTAGCAAGCATGCCCAGCCCTAGATGAAATGTGTGCATGTGAGAGAAAAACATGAATGTGCTCTGGATAACTCAGAGTTTCAAAGTGCTTCAGACTTGATTCAGAGGATGCTGAGTTCCTCCAAGGTGCTGATCTGTCGCAGTGGGCACAACAGCACTGCGCATTAGGGGATGCTGTCTGGATGGGCACCAGCTTGTGGCAATTTCCAAGGGAGCTGGTTGAACCACATCACTGTAAGTGGAAAATGGAGCAGTACCGACAGGCAGCTCACCCCCATGATCAGTCCTGTGCCCCCGTTGCCCTCTCGTCACCAACATCACAGTGCTCTGCTGTAGACAGCTGTGCTCTGCCACAGCTGTCTCTGTGTTCCCCCCACGCAGGTGCATCCGTGGCTAACCAAGGGTGGTGAGGAGCCTCTGCCACTGGAGGAAGAGCACTGTACCGTGGTGGAGGTGACGGAGGAGGAGGTGAAGAACTCAGTGAAGACGATCCCGAGTTTACCAGCTGTGGTATGTATAAACCACAACCGCATCCTCCGTGTGGGTCAATGGCATGACACTCCACTGAAGGTCTCAGCTGATGAAGGAGGTTTGCAGATGATACACATGTGCTCCTGGCATGAGAAGCTGTGCCTTTCAGCCCAGCATGAACTTTTTGGGTCTCTGAGTACTGCAGCAGCCTGACTCTGCAGGGCCTGACCATGTGAGCAGTCCTGTTTGTATCTGTCTGGCTGCTCTCAGAAGAGCAAAGTGTCTGGCATCAGACATCCCAGAACACCAGAAGCATCCCAAGTGTGTTTTGTTTCATTAATCTAGAAGTTGCAAACCAGCTCATTTGGATCCTCAAATTGAAGGCTTCAAACCTCGAGGTGCTGTTGCCAGAGAAGCAGGGAGAGGACATCTGCCAGCAGAGTATATAGCTGGCACTTGCTTGCCGGCCTTGGGGAAACCTCAAGTGCATGTTCAGGGCTCTCAGCAGTTTGCGTGTAGCCAGCTGGAGGCCTGCTCTAGGCAGTTACTATGGTGCAGGTGCCTTTGGGGGGTTCCTCATGGGAAGAGAGGCTCTGAGCACAGTGAGAACCTGTTTTCACGGCTCTCGTAGTATGAAGTTAACATAGACACTTGCCCCAACAGCTGGCTGGGCGAGTGAGAACCATCCTTGCCCCTTGATAGCAGGACCTTTGCCTTTGAACTTACAGGAGCTGGCGGCACTCTGTGGGCAGTGCCTGCCTGGGAGGATGGCCCAGGAGAGCTCAGGTGCCTCCTTCTCATGGGCTTGGACCACTATGAGCGGCAGGCAGTCATCGGCAGTGTCTGCTTTGCCTCTTGCCAGCAATGGTCTGCGTCCAGGGATCTGAGCTCACTGCCCAAGGGAGTGGCCCTGACATTGCCTGGAAGTCAGATAGCTGTTCTGTGGGATGCTCTAGTTTGTGCTCTAGCTGTATAGCTGTTAAATGTCTGCTGCATTATTAAAGAAGCTATTGTTAGCCTCCTTTGAGGTAGCTTCAAGAGGGTGATATGTATGTCAGTCTTGCTGTTCTCACTGGTCTGTTTTTCTTCCTCAAAGATCCTAGTGAAGGCCATGCTAAGAAAACGCTCCTTTGGAAATCCGTTCGAGGTTCAGACCAGGCGGGAGGAAAGGTCCATGTCTGCTCCAGGGAACTTGCTGATGTACGTATATACACGCTTGCCTGGCTCTGCTGCATGTGCAGAGTAAATTAGCGTGGGGACGATGAAGGAAGCAGTTTGTGAATCTCTCCTGTAGCATTTAAGCACAAAACTGCCTTCCAAATCAAATACCGAGGCTAAAATCTACCGCAAGTCCTCTAGGGTTAAAATACAATGCATTAAAGCAGCCTAAGTGCTCTTTTTATAGATGCAGTTCTCTCTGTAAGATGGATTTGGCCTAAACACATGTAAGGTGCTAAACTTAGGTCTGTTTTTTAACCTGTTAGTTTGTAATACACTATGATCAAAGATCCATTAAGAGATTGATAAACTGAAATAAGTTTAATTAGAGTCTATTCTAGAGATGTATTGGAGGGTGTAATTATTCTCTCCTTTTTATTGACAACAGACTATGTGCCAGATGAGCAGTTTGCAGGTTTTATAAACTGGAAATGAGATGATGTGGTTTGTTTGTGGTCTGGGGCCCAAGTCTGGCCCGAGTCTGCCCGTGGAGACGCATGGGCAGACAGTGGAGAACACTTCAACATTGCCATTTCCTTTGTGAAAACATGCAATATTTTTTTCACAAAGCCAGTTGTGAACTGGTGGAACACATTATGGTGGAGTATTTTGGAGGTTGGATATAAATGGTTATATTGGGGTTACAAAGGGAGTAGACAAATTCATTACTATTAGATTCATCAAAAATTTTGAAATACAGTGGTCTTGGATATTTAGAAGGGGGAGGATTTCTTTCTCCTTTGTTTGGCTCTTGCTTTCTCACTCATGTTGATTACCGACCCCTTTCAGAGCCAGGATTGTGGGCCATCAGTCCAATAAGTAAGAGATGGACCATTAGCCTGACTAGGACAATTATTTTCATATTCTCATCCCACAGGATCTGTAAGGCTGCAGTTCACAACAAAGCAGGGCTGTCCCAAAATATCCTTTTCCACCCCAAATCCCAGTTCCATGCCTCGCAGACTCCCACGAGGGTGTGCTAAGAGTCTCACTGCACCTTTGACAATGCGAACAGAGGAGTGTCTCTCTCTCACGGGTGTGTGGGGATTTAAGGGCTCAGCTCAATTAGGGATGATGACGCTTTAGGGCCCGACTGTGTATCGGAGACTTCAGTAAAGGCTTTGCCTTTGAGTCCTGGACTAGTTAATATTATCAGCAGTTTAATAGTTAAACACTCTAGAGACTGAGTGCTGCTGTGGGGACATCTGAAGGAAGAGCATGGCAGTCACGGCTCCTGTGCCAGCTTAGCACAAGGGATTTGTCCTCGTTTGTTTCTCTTGGCTCTTTGCCTTCCAAATTAGTTGTTGCTAATTTGACACGTGTCCCTCCCTGCCCATATCTTCACTGTCACTCCTGGTCACTGCATTGCATCGATCTGAGATGGGAGAACTTGTACTAAATTTGAAGAAGAATGTATTATGTGCTTCCCACTGTCCAGGATGGCTAATTCAGAGCAAGGCAGGATTTCTTCATTTCAAGCTCTGCCTGAATTGATATTTCAAGGTGGTCTGCTGGTTTAGTACCTTGAGCCTGTTTCCAAAAGGGACACGTTTCCTTCCACCTCCATTTGAGATGCCTGAAAGCCCATGCCACTGACTAACCAACTGGTGGGAAAACTTCTTGACCCTGACTCTGTGGCTGGTGCCTGCCCGGAGCTGGCTGCTTTATTATCTGCTCAGAACAAGTGAAGTTCATAATGTCGCTGTGAAGTTTCTGATTAGCCGTGTTATCAATGTCTGATCCCTTTTTAAGTCTTTTTAGGCCTTCAAGACAAGCTGTAAGCCTCCCCTTCTACTTTTATCTGTCTCCTTTCTAAAGTTGCTTGTCAAATTCTTCTCAGCTTATACAAAACCAGCATCTTTCCCTGTATCTACTCATTTGAGCCCCATTCAGGCTCCTTGTACAGGACTATTTTAAAAGGTTTTTGAAAACCGTGTATAATTTCCACTGTTGTGCTGCTGTGTCCAGGGCCTTTGGTTTGCAAGAACATGTCTGATCAAGGACGGAGCTGTGGCTGTCCTGGGCTGCCCTCTGCTTAGCAACGTGAGCACTTAGAGATGTCAAAAAAAAAAATGTGAATGGTTTTTGAATGTGTTGGTTCTCCACTGCACTAACCCCTGCACTTAATCTCTCAATCTCATGCCATCAGTACCAATTTTTAGCAGTAACAATTGACTTTATCCTAAATTAATTCATGCACAACTAGAGCTTTGAGAACCCATCTTGAAACTGTTCTGTTTAAAAGACAGACATCAGCTAGGTCTCTTAAACAAATAGTGTTGTATTTTAAACACTAGAGCAGGGTGGTTTGGTGTTTTTTTTTTAAGGAATATGGATTATTATTTCAAACTCTAAAAAATGCTGGGATGGTTGAATCTAAGGAAAACTACTTAAATTTCAATAGATTTATTGAATCTAATGACACTGATTTTAAGTGAACTGAGTCTAAATGGGAATGTTCATTGTTCAGTGAGCTGTGTCTTGATTACAGGGTTACTTCCACAGGAGCAGACAGAGCTAGACACTAGCCCAACCAGTTCTTAATTCATAGTGGGTTGTTCTGTAGTGAAATCACCCTTTATACACTTATGGAACACATCATCTCTGCAGATGTTATGAATAGCGCTGTGTTAGTTAAAATAAGTTTTGAGTGAATCTGGATGACTATAAATCTCTAGGACCTAGCCAGAACAGATAATGTTGGTGTAGAATAAAGGCTCTGCAGAGTTCCTGCTTGTCAGGCATCATTTCCTCCCCCATAGCTGGACTGGGAACGCCAAAAGCGGGACTTGCTAGCAGGACAGCACCCACAGCCGTGGCCGCTCTCTGGCCATGCTGCTGTGTAGTTGCCTGCAGGGAGCTAACAGGAAAATGAGCCCCAGATTCCCAAGCTCTCCACCACAGAGCTTCTCCTTCCCAGTGGCGGTGTCTTTAGAGAGAAGTGAATCACCTCTTGTAATGTTGCATCTTCTTCCAGTTATAGGTAGAAAATAACTTGTGGAGTTTCTATACAAGAAAAAAGAAAAGCAATTAGAAAACTCCAGTTTCACATTCCATTGATTTAATTAGGCTGCGTGTGAAATTGCCAGAGCCCCACTCACTGCTACTTCAAGCATCTTACATCTGTGCTCATACTGAGATTATGTTCTGCAGGAAATCCTCTGGCAGCTGAGTCTGCTTTCTGGTGTTTGATGCCTAACTGATGGTTCTTAAAATGGATCAGTCCTTTAAGAAAATAGGAAGAGAAAGGAGCCAGTTTAATGGCTCACACTTTAGGATTTGGAGAGGAGGAAACTAAATCATGTGGTTGAATTTTTTTTTTTAATTTCTCCCTGCATTACCTGTACACGGTGTGCTGGGCTCTTCTTGCAAAGGCTTTGTGCAGAAGCTGCATGTAAAGCCTGCTTTACAGTAGCAAGAAGTCTTTCCTGTTTGCAGCCTTTGTTCCTTCGGAGGATACTGTTAAGACCCCAGTGACTGAAAATAGTTCTTAAATTAGTACTGGGAGAAGAGGGCTTTTTAGCACTCCTTAGACCTGGAAAAAGCAAATCCTCTTCTAGGTGTAGTATTTATTGCTTTGTTTTATAGCACTGAGAAGTTAAAAAGGCAGCTGTTAAAACAGCAAGCACGTTCACCAGGTAGAAGAGAACTAAAGTGAAGATGCCCCCGTTTAGCAGTTCTTGTTTTGCAGTGTTTGCCTCTCCCACGAGAGCACCTCGGCACCCCTAGAAGCAGGGTGTGAGTGCTGCTGGCTGGCGCTGTATGCCCTGAGCTGTGCAGTAGCCAGGGCCAGGTGGCCAGGTGGCACCAGGTCCTGCCTTTCATGCAGGATCTCCCAGAAGAAGCAGGGATTCATCAAGCCTTGCAGATCCTGCAGACCGTGGCCAAGTTCAAGCCTGTCATTAATGGTGGCTGCTGAAGCAACTGAACGTTTTTAATTTTTCATCCAGTTACAGAATATTTTTTAAACCCAGCTGTTTAGCATCCACTGCTGTGTTCTGGGTTTCTCTTAGCAGCATTTGCTACGTTTCTTCTGCCTGCTCCAGATTTCTCCTAATTGAGTAAGCACTGGCTTCACCACATTTTATTACTCTCATTTATTGCAACTACTACCTATCAAATTAATTGCTGTGTTTTGACAGACCCAATTTACTTTCCCATTATGGCTGGTATTACTATTGATGAGGTGTGGTTGTCAGCTCCTGTATGGGGGATCAGTCTGTACATAGAAAGCCTACCCTGCTTCCAGCCTTCCCAAAATGAGAAGAAAAGAGCCATACTGTCCATGTAGGCTAGGCATGAGGAAGCCAGAGAGGAGAGGGAGGTAAAAAGTGGCTGACACAGATCTCCAAGCAGAAGCAGCTTCTCTCAAAGCAGCAGAGGTACCTGCCTGGTGGGGGCTTCGTGCTGAGGAAGTCCCAGAGCTTGCTGCTGTAGGGCTGCTCAAAAATAGGCTGCAGAGATCCCCTGGGGGCAGCTGGGTTTACAGCATCATCTTTGACAAGGGAACAGCTGCAGGTTAGGTTTATTTTTGCTAGATGTTTCCACTAAAGATGTTCCCTGCTAGTGCTCGATGTCTGACTCTCCAGTCCTAGGAAGATTTTTGGGTTGGTAACACATAGATGCTGTCAGAACCAAAAGCCATATCGATTTTCACTGCAAAGAGAGAACCGTGTGTCTCACGGGAAGAGCCGTGCCCCACAATGCAGGTGGGCATCCTGGTGGGCTGCCTGAGGAGCGAGGCACCGACTGTGGCACAGCATTTTCCTCTGGCAGAGACCCAGCCTCAGCTGGACACTCCACTGAGTGGCCCCATGTTCACGTGGCTCTGCCCGCACTGAGCTCAGCCACTCTACACCCCATTGCACCCATTGACGGGACGCAAAACCCCCAGAGATGCCAAATTGCCAGATTATGTGGCCCAGGAAAGTACAGCTGGACATCAGCGGTGTTCTGGAAGCCATCTGGCACTTTGAGCAGCAGCAGGGGCTGCAGGAGGTTTGTACCAGTGCCTGTCCTCATCTGTCCTTTGGGCTGCGAATAAACTTGACTGATGCTCCACTCTCTGTTTCACTCTGCTCACCAGGCTTGTTAGGTACAGAAATACAAGCTCCTTTGCCTGCTGCCATCATCTTCATGATCACTTTCTTCCTTTGTCTCATTGTTTTGTTCTCAGGGACAGACTCCTCTTAAACTCATCTGTGTATTTGCATCCATCTTTAAGGTAATTCAGTGTTTGTGTTTCCCCTGGGTGCTGTAGAAACGTGTCCTCTCCTCAGCCTGCGTGATTTGTGTGGTAGTGAGAGCGTTCCGCTCCATCCTTCCTTCCTGTAGGAGCAATTTTACTGCAGTAATTTTGTGTGCGTGACACTAATGTTTATGTACACTTATTATTATTATTATTATTATTAGTGGTTCTTTGAAGGTTTCAGCCTCCTTTCGGGAGGGAGGAGTGAAAAAATCCAGTTGGGTTTTAGCAGGAACTGCTGCTCAGCCCCATGTTCACAGAGGGAATAGCTACAGAATTGGGGAAAGACTAGGCTTTGTGATTTGGGCTGAAGTTTAATATTTAGTGGTTATGCAGAATAAATAGAGCTGGAGCCATTTCTGCTTCAGCTGCTCCACCACCATACTGCGCTTCTGCCTCTGCTGTGCTGGGAGGGCTGTGGGCCAACCAACACTGTCCCCCTGTGTGACCACCCACCCCACCTCAGCCAGGACTTCATTCAAAGACAGTCGTTTGTCCAACTGGTTGCACAGACCCTTCTAGGAAGCAGTTGTTCCAATTAATTCTGTTAAATAACAAAATAATATTCAATGTAAACCGTGACAAACCGCTTACAAACATCTCAGGGTGAAACCTGAGGATCTAGTGCTTGGGCAGGACACAGCCCCCACCCCAGACTGCTGCCTTTGGGAGCAGCTCCAGCTCTGGAGGCTCTGGCTGGCCTAGTTTACCACTCCGAGATGAACGGATGAGCACAAGCCAGGATGCCACCTGCTCCGAGTGAGGAAGGACTTGCAGAGATTATCCAAAAAAAGTTAGGAGAAGGCAGGCGGAGGAGGATGGGGACTGTTGGTGACAGCGGGCGCCGCTGCCTGCTGCTGCGTTTTTCGTAGAGGGGAAGGGGACTTCACCAGCCTAGATGAGCACAGGTTATTAGTATTTAATGGGGACTCAGTGGAGGGATTAAGCACTTACCAGGAACTTACCAGTATATGGTGCGATTCAGCTCTTTGTAGGCTGTCCCACTCCAGCCCTGTCCCCTGCTGCCTGTGTTTGGGAGGGAAGTGCTGAGGCTCATTCCTTGCTGGGCACGAAACACCGGCTAAATACTCAGCAGCTGTGATCTTCTCGCCGCTGCTGTGGTTAACAGCGATGTGGTCTCCTGGATAATTGCACAGGTCAGGCTTCCCTCACCTGTGGTGTAAAAAATATAGCAGAAATACGGTCTTATTTCTTGGAAAGAGTTATTTAATGGAGATTCACGTTCAGCTGCAGCCCTCCCAGCTCGAGCCCTGGCTCCTCCGCAGGCAGCAGAGCACTGATGCACTGATCTCTGCCGCCCCGCCTGTGACCCGAGTTTAGCTGATAACTCGCCACTGCGCAGGTGTTGGGTCAGCCTGTTGTGCATGGCACCCTCGTGCCCTGCCGCAGGGTGTTTGGAGAGGCAGGAGCAGCTTGGGGCAGCAGAGGAGCATTGAACGCACCCCGGGCACGGAGCGGGCTCGGCAGGATGTGCCAGGCAGCTGCGGGCAGGGAGCTGTGCTGTGCTGTGCGGAGCTGCCTGAGCTGTGCTGGAGAAAGGAGCCTTCGCTCCTGCCAGGCTGATAAATCATTTAAAGAGAGTGATGACAGACACCGCAGGCAGGGCTGTTCCGCAGCTTCCCCCACCGGGAAATGGTCCATGCTCCGAGTTCAAGGTCAGGTTTATCACAGGGCTTCGTTGGAGCAGAAGGAGAAGGGAACATGATTTGGGTCATTTCTGGTTTCTTTGAAAATTGGCACAGCCTTGTGTGTACTTTCAGTGTTGTTCCCAGCCAGACAATGACCCCAGAGCCCCAAACCCACACTTCCCAAACGCTGTGTGCTCCAGGCACATGCAGCAGCACTGACTCTCCGCTGGCCCATCAGCTTGTCCATCCATGCTGACTGATTCTCCTGCAGGCAGGCTGGTGTGAGCGAGGTCAGACACTCTGGGAGATGCAGATGGTCGGGGTTGCATCACCTCCTTTGCGCTGTGGATATCTTCACATCTTCACAATGGAGAAACAGGTGGTTTAGGTGCAAGTCACCTGCCTGCCATGGGTCTCTGCTGTGGGGTGATGTGGATGGACCTGGAAGTGTTGGGTTTTCTCTATTCAGTCTAGAGCAGTGACAGCTTTCTGTGTTTGGTCAGATCTTAGTCCCAGGCTGGTTTATGGACAGCTGGGCTGGATGGAAGTATTACTCCTCAAGGATGCCCTACAGTGCCAGAGCTGGCTTTGCCCCAGCAGAGCCAGTGGCACAGACACACCGCCTGCAATGGTGTGAAATCAACTGGCAGCAGGGCTTGGGCTGCCCAGGGGCTTGCGGAGCAGACCACCCTCTGCTGTGGCTATTGCATCCCGGGAAGCGGGGGCTGTGTGTACCCCACTGCGTGGCATCCAGCAGTGCTACAGTGCCTGCAGCTGATGTGGCTGGACTGGCTGGCTCAGCTCGGACCCCATAAAAGCCCCCCCAGCCCGAGCCAGCACAATGCTCCATCAGCCTAAACATTTCCACTCATGCTTCAGAGCGATGCCCTAAGCAGCTCTGAGCCTGCCTCCCCACTGGCAGAGGTGAGGTGTCCCATCCCACCACAGCAAAGCTCAAGCCTCCTATGTAGGAAGACATCAAAAATTAGGAGCAGGGGGAACCCGCTGAGGGTATCGTGGCGTACGTACAATGCAAGCAAGTTACCTTGGCTGTATTTTAAGAACTGCTGCTCTCAGGTGCTGAGCTGTTTTGGAGACCAAACTCAAAGAAGCTGAATTAAACAG